TTCTCGTAGGACTTTGGTAATGAAAGTAATAAAATTAATGCCTGGTCCTCATCATCAATCTTCACATCTATGTCCTTTAAGTTTGATATGATCCTATCAAACTTATTGACATAATCCCGGATTGAGGTGCCTTCCTCCATCTTGCATGTATACAATTTGGATTTTAAATAGATTCTGTTAGTTAGATCTTCGTCATGAAATTACTCTCTAACTTTGCCCAAACGCCTGCTGCTGTTGCTTCTTCATTTACCAAGAAAGCAATATCCCTCTCAAGGCATAAGATTATAGCAGCCCGCGCCTCAAGATCTAATTCTTCCCAATCCTCATCCTTCATATCAGCCGACATTTTCTCTTTCCCAAATAATGCCCTATGCAATTTTTGTGAAATAAGCAAATTTTTCATTTGCATCCTCCAATAGGAAAAATCATTTTTCCCATTAAATTTTTCAATTTCATATTTGCCTACTTTGACATTTCCACTAGTAGAAGCCATTTTACACTAAATTGAATTTTACCACTCAAAATTTAGACGTTGGCTTTGATACCAATTGTTAGAGCTGCAGTGGAATTTTGGCCTTCTAATAGATATAAAATAATATGAAATTTAACACCTCTCACAACATGCAATTCTAGGAATGAGACAAAATAACCAATATGAAGTAACAAAATATAACTTAAGATATTAACCTCTCTTAATTATATTTAACTTTCGATGTGAATTACAAAATTTGATTAATTACTACTTTACATCTGAATGACGTATTTATAGTGCTTACAATGCTATAAAATGAATGATGCAAAATTTAAATGATTTTAAGCTTCACAAACTAGTGCATTCCCTTAAGTTTCTCTTATTCTATGATAAACTTATGCATCTCCTTGCTTTACTCTTAACCTGACTAAAAATAGTATCCTTATTCCCACACTGCAATTTGGGTTCATCTCGACGAGGTAACTCTGAACTTATGTGAGATTAATGTCGTTAAACCAATGCTCAATCTGGCTGGAAACATTACGTGTATCGATGAACCCATCTCAGGATCAATAAGATGCTTGGTTCGAGTAAACTCCATATGCATGTTTTGGAACCGTTATTATCCGGCTTTTACTTAGGCCTTGGACACTCTGAGTTTAAATGGATTAATTTTAGATATGAGAATATGTATATTTTGTGCTCTAATTGCAATAGAGTTGGCCATAAGCAGAATACTTGCACTTTGAATCATTTTAGCTCTGCTCCTTCACATCTTATCTGTGTTCAAAATTCCTGGTTCTATATGTTCTCGAATGGATAATTTGCTAGCCAGGTTTTGGTGGAAGTCTTCTTCTTCTAGTCGAGGGTTAGCTCTTCATTCTTCGTCGTTGCTCCATCTCTCGAAGGGTTTAGGTGGATTAGGAATTCATAATATTGTCCCTTTTAACTCTTCATTGTTAGCTAAGCAGAGTTGGCGGCTCATTCATTGCCTTCAGTTGTTGGTTTCCCGGCTTCTGTTTGCGAAGTATTCAACTCTTCGTTCCATTGACTCGACCTCGGCTTCTCGTCCATCTTGGGGTTGTCGGGGCCGTATTTCGGGTTTATCCTCGCTGTCGAAGGGTCTGTTTTGGAAGGTTGGTTCAGGTTCTCGAGTTCGCATTTTGGAGGATTCTTGGGTGCCGGGGGACCGGTACATTTTAAGGATCTTCCATCCGAGTCGATTTGACCGACTCTTGTGTCTTCTTTACTTGATCCGCGTTCTTATGCGTAGGATGCTACTATTATTCATGGGCTGTTTGATTCTAGCTCTGCTGCTAGAATTCTTTCGTTGGATCGGCCAGTGCGGTTAATAGATGATTTTGTTTACTGGAAAATTACTAGGGATGGTGTTTTTTCAACAAAATCTAATTATGCCCTTCTTTGTGAGCCTAAGGTCATGTCTAGTATTCAATCTCAAATCTCCCCAGCATGGTGGAGGAAGTACCGGGCTTTACCAATTCTTCCAAGGTGGAAAATCTTATGAGATTGCGCATGAGGCATGACTATCATTTTCTTACATTGGTGAAGATTTACAGTTTAAGTTATTCCAATCTGACCACTAGTAATGTGGTTATAACATTATGAATCAGAGTTAGGTTTTAAGTAGTTTGAATGAAATTAGTGTCATGTATTCTATATGTGCACATTTATATATGCATCACCAAGGGATGTGCTATATATTGTGTTCTTGGGACACAAACAAGGAGACTATTCATATTATGAGAAAGAATTGGAAGAAGAGAAATGAAGCTTTTTATGGCTTGATACCACCACCAAGGGTTATCATCCCTACTTTTCTCTCTGCTACTCCCTCCAGAGTGTGCAAGTTTTTTTTTTTTTTTTTTTTTTTTTTTTTTTTGTTTTTTGTTTTTTGTTTTTTGTAAGTTATAATGATTTAATGGCTAGAGTGGGTTGTTTTTTGGTAAAGTACTTAGTAGTTAGTAGCATCCAAATAAAGAATGGGTGAATTAAATAAAGAAGACTATCCAAATACCTTACACTTGCGACCCGTTTAGTGGTGGCCACAAATGATGGTAATGAGTATGAATTTGTGTGTAAATTTGCAAGGAAAATAAAGATTCAATCTCACGGTAATGTTAGCTTACCTTAAATTGACCATTTTTCTATAGAAATTTTCATTCCCACCTAATACCTCCTCCTTAGTGGTAATAGATGATAATGAAAAAACATGAAGAAAAGTAGAAAACACATACTTGGAAGTGAAATTGCATTGCAATGGGATTACAATGTTAGTTCCCTTTAAAATTGAATGGTAAGACCCTTTTCATTTTTATTATCACAATTTATAACCGGCTACCAAATGAGCTGTTAGTCTTATTGGAACAAATTGAATGGTGGATGGTTGGCGGAAGCATAAATTGGGTGGAATGGAGTTGGTTTCATCATGATAGAAGATGATCTACTATTGTGTCTTGCTAGTGTTATCAACAATTTGAATTATTTTTCCTATTCAGTTTGGTCTTATCATACAATTGGTTAAGGCTTATGGTGTGGCACACTAACTTTCACCGAAAAACGTTGTTGGATAGAATTTGAATTGCATTTCCTATTTAGTTTGGTCTTATCATTCGATTGGAGCTATAGTATGTTTTAACAATGTATAATCAATGCATTCCACATGAAAACATACTATAGTCTATAGCTATCATTATCCTAATCTTTGTATTTTGAAACAAGTTCTTGCTTAAAAAACATATAACAACACTTTTAATGACGATGCTCCCACAATTTATCCTTTTTTGAGAAGCTACAATCTATACTTATATATTATTAAAAAGCATTTTTAAAAACGTTTACGTGGCACACCATAGAAAGAGGTTTGAACGCCTAACCACATGGAATGAATACCACACGTCTTGCCACCTTAACTAGCAATGAGCTCCATTCATTCACATTATATTCATAGAGGTATACTTTAGTCGTTCGATATACCTTAACTAGCAATAAGCTCCATTCATTCACATGGAATGTATATAAATGTAGAAAAAAAACACCCAAACTAAAAACAAATGAAACTCATATTCTCTTTCAATTCTTTTCAATATTTTAACATTATATTCCAAATTATTAATACTAAAAAATTCAAACACTTTATTAAAATAAAAAAAAAACTCTAAGCAACATTCCAGGGCAACGCTTGAGTCAACACACTAGTGTTGTCTTAAATATTATTTATTACGAATTGCATTTGTGAGAGCCTTGCCGTACGTTTATTTTGGAAGTTTTGACAATGCAATATCTTGTCTTGATAAAAGTTTCCACTATGGTTTAGGGACCAAAATAACCACAAATAATGACTCATTTGGGCAAGTATGTGATAAAGTCATAGAGGTATACTTTAATCGTTCGATAAACACTCTAGATTCAAACTGTGAAAAGGAGGTAGTACTACTAAACAAGAACATATAGCAAGTAAAAGGATTGTATTCGCATGAAATGACTAGCAGAATTCTGAAATCTGTGAACAAATGCTAACAATACCGTATTCGCGTGAAATGGCTATGCGGGAACTATAAAAGTTAACTCGATCATAAGATTGATTTTTGGTTACACAACTAGAATGAATTAAGGGAGAAACTATAGGAAACAAATGCTAAGGGAAAGCGGGATTCAACACCTATCAAACAAATGAGTCAACAAAATGAACGGGAATTCAATATTACCTTCTTTTAAAGCCACAAATTCAAGCATTTTCTAAACCAAACAATTAACATGATAAGGTAATAAAATCTTAATAGTAGGAAGTGGGTTTATAACTTGAGTTTATCTTTCGATTGTTTTGAGAAAGCACGAAGAACCAACTTATAATTGAGATTAATCACTTAATCACCACACTAAGGTCATGTTTACTTTACTTTATTTTTACTTATTTCCGGGAAAATAAGTTCACATCAAATAAAAAAAATAAGTTCAATTCGGATCAGAAAAATTAAGTTCTAACACACTTATCATTATATGCGAGGTTTTTATCACTAAATATCTTTAATTTCGTAATGAAAAAAAATATTGAAAATTACATATTAATAAATACACATTATTACGAATCTAACAATACTTCACTTGATATGTTTTTTCTTTATAGGTTATCGTACACATAAGATCAAAAGTTTGGTCAAATCAAACAATCAGATCTAAATTACATCATATCAAATAATAAAAAATAAGGTGAACTAAACAAGGCTAACACAACCTGAAAGAGGTCTATTCTAATTGCACATAAGAAGACTCACACTTAAACTCCATTTCTCAGTGAAACAAATGAGCATAAAATCGGTTACCAAAATAGACAAGCAAACAATCAACTCGTGAACAAACAATCATTAACCCAAATGACCAAATTGAAAGATGATAACAACCATCATTAAGGTGCTATTTTTAAAACAAAATCGGTGAAAAGATGAAGAAAAGCTTTAACTTTAATTCAACATATTATTTGACAGAAATATTAAAATAAGGTATGAGATTTGGCTTTAAAAAAAGGTACTCTGTATTTTTTAAACATAATCAAAAAAGATAAACTTGTATTTTATCCCCTATTCCCAAGTCCCAACCAAGTAAAGAAATACTCCGTCCGAATAAATTACGCGACAATTGAGTTGTTTAAAAATCTAGGGCTCCGTCCGATATCAATTTCGAGCATAAACGAGAGAGAAACAAGCAAAGCACTTGCTACAACTCTGCAACTACAATACAACCAAATTTATAATTCAGCTAAACAATGGTGTGCGAAAAGTGTAAGTAATTCTCTCTTTTTCTCCTTTAGATTTAATTATATTCTGTTAGATCTTCAATTAAAAAAAATAAAGAACAGAACTTTATGCTTATTCAATTTGCATTGTTTGCCGATCAATTTCTTAAATATTTGTGTTTTAAAGTTGTGAATAATTGGTGGGTTTTTTTCTTCCAATTTGCAGGTGAAAAGAAGTTAGCGAAGGTGATAGTTCCAGATAAATGGAAAGCAGGCGCCAGCAACACCAACGAAAGCGGTGGCCGCAAGATCAATGAAAACAAGCTCCTCTCCAAGAAAACCAGGTATTTTTCTAATTTTTTTTAAATAGTTTGTCGTTATTTTTATTTTCTTAGAAAAAATTGTATGTTGATGAATTAGATGCTGCAATTATGATTTTTGATAGTAATTTGAATTTGGCAAATTGGGGTTTTTAAAATTAATCCGTATTGTTGATGGGTTGGTAATGACTTGAGCTAATAATCTCCTAATAGTATTGTAAAGAAGAAGCTGGTGATTAAGTGGGGTGTTTGTTTGATTAATATATAATTGAGGGCTGAGATCTTTGTAGTCATATTATGTTGAAAAATTTGTCTTTGCCGGTTATATGGAAGCATTTGGTGTCTTTAATAACACAGATGGAAGATTTGTGGATAGTTTGATTGGTTACTTTATAATCAGGGGCTGAAATCATAGTAATCATAGTTGTTGATGAATTTGTTTATTGACGCCCATATGGGTGTCTTTCTTGGTTGTGCCACTTGATGTTTAAGAACTCAGATAAGCTGTAATTATTCTTAGAACGAGACACTTGAACATATTGTATTGCACTATCGCCTGGTAATGTGTAGGGGAAGTATATGTTAAAGTACCACTTTGATGTTAGCATCACACTATTAGATCGATTGATTTTTTTAGGCAAAAAGTGTTCAACATCAACTTTAATTATATACGTACACATCTAAAGACTAAAGAGGCTCTCTTCATTGTAGGGTTCCTACTGTAAATGGGGTTGTCTGCACACAACGTCACAACCTACTTATGAAGACATAATTTTATGTAAGATTTTTCAAAAAAGTTAAAAATTACTACTGAATTAGTACTCTCTTTCAAAATTGGATGTTTTAACAATAATGTTTAAAAAGAACTCACCCTTCTGTATCACTTGTGAGCAATGGTTGATGGATTCGTTTACAATTTTGAACAAGAAGGGAAAGAGTGAGTATCATCTAAAAGACTTAAGTCCCACCCCAAATCATTTCTTCTCTCTTTCCATGCTTTTTGCTTCAATTATATGCTTCACATTGAGCATTCAAGATTTAGACAATCCCTTTGATCTCTCATCAAAGTTTTTCACCCTTGGAATTCCTTGATATTCTTAGCATGATATGGGAATCTCTTTGCATTGTTGGACATAAAGAATTAGAAAGAGTGGTTTGTGGTTGGCGAATACATGAGATAAAATCTTGGTTTATGTAGCTGACCCCCTTTTTTGAGAAATCCCTTTGCCATTACTTGAAGTTCCTTTGTATAAAACCTGATCACCAATTCACTATTGGAGCAAAGCATAAGTACTAAAGAGTGCTATACTGCTATCATGATTTAGACTTGCACAAACCATAAGTAAAAAGTAAGGAATATATAGGCTCCATTGGGAATGGACATAAGTTAAACTATGTCCAACCTCTAGATTAGTTGCTAGGGAACAATGTAATAACTCATAAGCTGAGTTGCACCTGTTATATTAGCTATACAGAGGTCTAGTGTAATGAACTAAGAACTTGTTAGCTGTCCTTTCAAGTTCTCTTTTGTTCTCTCTCATTGTTTCTTTGTTTTGTTATTTATAATAAGTCTCCGTCTTCATTATAGTTTAGGTGACATTTGCTTCACCAAGAAAAATCTGTTTTGCCTTTGAGATCTAATATGCATCTATTGTGGAATGTTTAAAAACGGACTTAATAATCAGACACCATTACGCACACACACACAGAAACTTTATGACTTAGATAAAATTTATCGATGGACACACTCGCATTATTATTCTGGAATTCCTCACAACTTTATATACACACACACACTACGTGCCCTGCTTCAATTCTCTCCCTCATGCTTCTCTCATGTGGGCTTCTTATATTAGACTCATACTTACAGAAAGCTAAGATATATTTCCTATCTATAGCTATCCTAAATTCCTAGGCTTGTTTGTATAGTTATGGTGATTAGTGAATAGCCCTTCTGGCTATATAATGCCATTCTTCAAGATTCTTCTACAGAGGTGGTTAGCTCACTGACCAAGCTCATATTCTATGCAAGTAGCTTCAATCATTTAAATTTGCTGGATTAATTTTACAGCTGTTGAATTTATCTCAATATTTGTATAGTTTTGTTTGGACTCTGGACCAGGGCCTTGGGTAGTGCTGGTTAGTGGTTTTGGAGATTGCTAGTTTGCAAATTCTGTGGTGGAAATTGTTTTTTCTCTTACGCTTCTTAGCAGTGTGATATACTGTTATTTGTGACTTATTTTATAGCTCGACTGTGGACTCCCTCCCTACTATATATACTCTCAAGTTTTGGTGGAAAGCTATGAAGGATTGGCTTTGTTTCCAAACCTTTTTTTCCCTTCTCTCTCTCTCTCTCTTGGTTGTGGTGCACCCAGTGGGGGAAGTGGGGCATGTTTTCCTTGTGGCATGATAAGTGGTAGGGTTTATCTTTAAGCATGAAACCCTATATATTTTCAAGCAGCTGGTATTTTTAGTAAATTTAGTTAACCTTGCAGTGTCCTCTACTTGCAACATGATTGGTATTTTGTTTGACTGTGGAAATTGGGTTGATAATTGTTGAGGAATTAGCATTGTTGCAGATAGCAAAGTTTTAAAACCTGCTGTGCATATATCCCATAGGGAATGATCGTTGGGATGGACTACCTTAGAACATACCATATTACCCCTAGTTGTAGAGTTTTCTTTGTCAGGCTATTTAGATGTGGATCTGGTCCTGGTAAAAGCTTATTGGGTTGAAGGAGTGAAAGGTAGGGGTTTTGTTTCAGGTGAGAGCAATGATTGCTCTGGAAGTCTGTAGCATTGAAATGCCATCGTCAGCTACTTAGCTGTGCTTTCTTTCACTAGGACTATTGAATTACTTTGAATCCTGCTGGTTTCGTGTACTCCTGTAAGATTTTTGCTCCTGTATTCCCGTACCATGTCATTTAAGGGCATGCCTGCCTGCCTGGATAGCTAATAATAGAGGAGGATAAGTTAAACGAGGAATAATTGGATGTTTTGAATTGCCAAATTGGAGATTGAATTGTAAGGGGGTAATATATACCCCTCAATATAGGGTTAACAAATAGCATTGGATCAAGGGTCTAATTGAAATGACATTTTAACTACATAGTAGTAAAGGTTATGTATACTTGACGTCTTTAAGAACCTCCCTAAGATGGGAGCTGTTATGTTGTTGATGGACATACATATATGCTGATGTACATGTGACATTCACGGAATCACAGTACATTGCAGTAAGCTGTGATTTACTGCTTACATAGTTGTATACTTGCTCGTGTATGCTGGTAGATTGTTTATAGTGGTCTGCTTTGTCACCCCTTCCATATTCCCTTGATTGTTTCTCTGCAGTAATGTATTTCTCACAACTATATCTACTCTGATTACTTTGCAGATGGACTCCTTATGGAAACACTAAATGCATCATTTGCAAGCAGCAAGTACACCAGAATGGCAAGTATTGTCATACTTGTGCTTATAGTAAAGGTATTCCGCAGTTTTGTTCTGACTTTGTTTATCTGCAGAAAAAAAAAAAAAAAAAAAAAAAATTCACTCTTACCAAAGGTTGACATCTATGTCTAAGACTTTCTTTCTAGCAACGATTATGGATTATTATCAAGATGATTTTTCTAAAATGCATTGTGCTTTTCTAGGTGTATGTGCTATGTGCGGTAAACAAGTGCTGGATACCAAGCATTACAAGCAAAGTAATGTATGATGCTTATTGGACTCATCTTGGGGTGACATTCTGAGCTCTCAGCTCATTTCTGTTATCTTGATCATTGTTGCAGAAAAATGCTTTTGTGTATATGTACTATCAACTAATTTTCCGTTATATAGGGGAGGTGATTAAAGATTTGATATCAAATCTGGAAAAAAAACAATGTATGATGCTAATTGAATTTAACTTGCAATTTCTTAAATAGCTAACTCTTGAAAGGTCAATAATCTGACTATAACTTTTTTGGCTCTTTTTTTTTTTTCCTTCCCTATTTCTGTTAATTTGAGCCATGTTTAAAACATATAACATGTGCATTAAGGTGGTGTTATCTTCAGACTTCACTTCTCACTTTTTTCTTAGTTTAAATTTGTAAACATGTACTACTACGTTTATTGAAACTTTATTTTATTTAGACTTATCTCATTTGTCTATAATCTGTATCAAATAAGTCAAAATAAGTCACGACATAGGTTTAGTGGATGAAATCATATCGAATTTGGATTCTTTTTGTTTGTTTGAGCTGTGTTCCTTCTTTGTAAGTAACTTATGTCATATCTCAATAATGTTGTGTTGACTTTACTCTTCTAATTATTTCTTAAAAGTTCTTGTCCGATGCCTAACCATCAAATAATTTCAGCACCTTATATTTACGTAGGGCTGTAGGACGTTAGGAGTGCATTATAAATTTCATGACATTTGCTTTCCTAGTTTCCTCTTTCTATTATCAGTAAATTTTTTATACGCAATTCTTGAGGTAATCTTGTACTATCTCCGTTTCTTTTTAATTGCAACAAAGAGATACTCATTATTTGTGAGAAAAAAAAATTCATTTATTGCAACTAAAAAGTAACAGAGGTAGTATATATATTCCGGTTAATAAATGTATTGATTTTGAGTAATCCCATAAAGTAATTAGTTAAGCGATAACTGCATTTGGTAGTATTTGATCCCGTGTTAGTTGTATACAATGGTGTTATATGCTCATTTGATCAATCTTGCTTGTTTTGATTATTTAAAATAAGGTGGATGTTGTTGAGGGGAAGTACTCTCTCTAACAGTGACTTCTGTGAGTATAGATATCAATTCGCACAAGATTAGAAAAAGTAAATTTATCAATTAAAATTTAGAGAAGTGCTTCCTCAAAAGAGAAACCTACTTAAAAAGACAATATATCATCTACGCCGTAAACTATTATGGTAGGTCAAAACAGAGAATTGTGTTCATACTTAAGTACCAATTAAATTTGAACTGTTTTGGACTACTCCCTACATCTCTATCAGTTGAGGTATGAGACAATTTTTATGGGATAGAGGGAGTATAATATCCTTTGATAATTTGGAGGTAGTTATGATTTTCGTGGCAGCATCATTTGTTTCAATCAGTTGACAAATTAGACTCACTTTTGCGTTTACATTATGATGTTATTATTCTATACTTTCTACGTCAAACAGTTGAACTTAATAATATAGATTCACTCAAGCAACAAATCATGTTTACAAATCACAACCAATGACGTATTGAAATACAATTCCTGTTACACCAAAAGAAAAAAATGTCTGGTGAAACTATCTACCAGGAGTTTAGTTTTGACACTTACTCACACGAAGGTGATCGTTTTGTGTATCCACCTTTAGACCCACCATCACTACCATCTGAGGTGCCAACTTCAGAAGATGAGTTTGGTAAGATGAAAGCTCCTGTGAAGTACTTCCTCTGTTTATTTTAGTTGCAATATTTCTGATAATACTTTCATTGTTTCAATTTGGCAGATGTAATAGGTGACGATGAATTCAAACATTCAAGCATAACTATAAGGCTATACCAAGCTGCACTGACTGGTGATTGGGAAACTGTGGAAAGTATCTGGAGAGAAGATAATGCTTGGATCAACACAAGGATTACGAAGGGAGGCGATACAGTCCTTCACATAGCAGCAGCAGCCAAGCATCTGCATCTTGTTAAGGAGCTAGTTAATGTTATGAATGATGATTCTCTGGCTTTGACTAACAGAGTTGGGAACACCGCGCTTTGTTTTGCTGCTGTTTCGGGGGTTGTTGAGATTGCTAAATTAATGGTAGACAAAAGCAGAACATTGCCAAATATTAGAGGCAGTCAGGATATGACTCCTCTTTTAATGGCTGTGTTGCTGGGTCACCAGGATATGGTGTGGTACCTCATGTCAGTGACTGATTATAATTTGCTGACAGTTGAAGATGGCATGGAGTTACTCACTGGTGCGATTGATACTGATTTGTTTGGTAATTTTTTCTACTCTTCCATTCTGTACTATCAAAGTACTCTGCTTTTATACATAGCATTATGGCGACAAGCCAAAAAGTATATATATATGTGTGTATATTATAATTCTCACTCAACATATTAACATGTTTGTATATATTCTAGGTAACAAATAATTTTATGTACACATGGATCTAATAACTAGTTTAACATAACAAAAAGTTTTATATACTGCAGAAGTAGCTTTGCATATTCTACGCAGCAATAGAAATTTGGCTACTATTCGAGGCAGAAAGGAGGAGACCGCACTACATGCATTGGCTCGAAAGCCTCCAAGGCTCAATAGATATCAGCTAAGCATGTGGCAGAAGTTTAGAATGCAAGGTTGGTTTTCCTTACTATGTGAATATGCTTTCTTAAGGAAGTGCAGGGTATAGAATGTGACATAATATATATGGGTTCTTTGGTTAATAGACGAGTTTACATAATTGTTTCAATATGATACCAAACTTTTATGGTTGATTAGTAAGTTTGTCTACAGGTTGTAGCACAAATCATGTAGAGCCAGCGGTGGTGCTCGAACTAGCACAAACACTTTGGGATGAAATCATAAAACTGAAGCACGGGGACATATCTAAATTAATTGGCTTCCCCTGGCGATTATTATTTGTTGCAGCACAGTTGGGAAAAGTTGAATTTCTTATGGTGCTCATCAAATCCTATCCTGATATTCTTTGGAAAGTGGATGAAAATAGATACAGCATTTTTCACATTGCTGTCATTTATCGCCATGAAGAAATCTTCAAGCTAATACATGAGATTGGAGCGATCAAGGATTTAATAGCTACTTACAAAGATGACCATGGAAATAACATGCTTCATTTGGCAAGCAAGTTGGCACCTCCCAACCGGCTTAATTGTGTATCGGGAGCAGCTTTGCAGATGCAACGTGAGTTACTATGGTTTGAGGTAACTATCATAGACTAAGGTATTTAATTTGCTAGTTGCAACTACAATTGAATATAATATACCTGGAGAATAAACTTTCCCTTGGAATAAAGTCAATAAACTCCATTTCTTAAACTCATTTGCAAAATTCTCATATCACAGGAACCAAGATCACCAGATTACCTCTATTAGTCCCGATATTTTGAAAATATTGCAGTTAGATCTATATGCACTTTGCAAATATTGTTTATGCCGGGAGCCCTCATTGTTTGTTTGTGATTTTCGGTGCATCTTTTTGCTGATTATTGACATAATGCACAGGCAGTTAAAAAGATAGTAAGGCCAGAGTACACTGAAGCTGAAAATAAGGACCATAAAACACCTCAAGCCTTATTTAGTGAAGAGCATGAGGGATTAAGGATGACAGGGGAACAATGGATGAAGAAGACAGCCGAATCATGTGCTTTTGTTGCAACTCTAATAGCAACAGTGGTCTTCTCAGCAGCCTTCCAGCTGCCAGGAGGCAATAACGATAACACAGGAAGCCCTGTCTTAGTGAAAAGGCCATACTTTGTGGTTTTTGCTATGGCTAATGCAGTATCATTGTTCACCTCTACTGCTTCAATATTGATGTTCTTGTCAATCCTCACTTCTCAGTATGCAGAAAGAGATTTCCTTGCATCGTTGCCGTTGAAGCTCATGTGGGGGCTCATCTTGCTTCTAATTTCAATGGCAACTATGATTGTGGCCTTTACTGCTACCTTCTTCATGACTTTCCTACAAGGATTTAGATGGGCTCCTATTCCTGTTGCTCTGATCGCCTCAATACCTGTTCTGCTCTTTGCCTTCCAACAATTCCCTCTTTTGGTGGACATATATTGCTCAACGTACGAATCTCATTCCATATTCCAGTCCTGTAAACCAAAGCTGTTTAAACTTTCGTCGCAGAACAAGATTCCCCCCCATGGACAAGTAGATTCAAAATCCCGCAAAATTGATATCCCTTTTACGATCCTGATTCCTGAATCATCTATGGATCACATATTGAAATATGCTCGCAACTCTTTTTCATGGCATCGAGCAGCCTCATTCATAGTAGATCCTGAACCCTCTGATACGCCTTCATTCAGCTCTTGGCGGGTTAGATAGCTACAAAGTATAGGATTTTGAATTTTGATCAAACTTGTGAACGTAAGTTTGTGCTACTGAGCCATTTAGGCTCATACAATGAAACATCAAGCACAGGTTGCTTCATGCAAGAAGTCCTGCAGTTAGGTCAGGCCAAGCCTAGAAGCTTCTGTACAAGTTCAATTCCGGAGAGATCTTTCCATCCGAACGATCCTTAATGTTTTCCATTGTTAATGTGATTGACTTCATCATACAGGGCTGGTATTATGTGCAATGTGTGACAAACATTTGCTGGATTCTAAGCTTTAGATTTAAAGCAATACAATGTACTATTCCAATAGAGTAAAAGAATTCAACTACTTTACATATTCAATTCTTAAAACATTTATATTATCGGAATCCATAAGATGTATCTTATTCTCTGTTCTTTCTTCTCCGAGAAGATTAATATCGAACACACGAGAACAAAAGATCGATTAACCTACTAACAAATGCGATACTAGGACAAAGAACTTATTCTCAACTTTCTTGCCATGTGAAAGAAATTAAAGTAACTACAGCTCAAAAGTAAGCAAGATAGCAACCAACCAAAATTCCCATGCCATCCCATCTAAATTAGGCCCCATTGCCCCACGAAAATCCTCCAAGCTGATCTTACCATCACCATCAACATCAAGCTTGCGGATCACACGATCAACCGCTTCATCTGATGGGTATCGGCCAAAGATGGCAGCGAAACTACGGAGATCCATAGAGGAGAGGAATCCATCTTCGTCTTTGTCCATTAGAGGGAAGAACATTGATGGGTTTTGATGCCCTTGAGTATCAAACATTTCGATTCGTTGCTTTCCAAATATGTTTCGACGGTACAGTAAATTGTAAAAGTCCAAACAGGAAATAGATCCATTGTGATCATCTTTGATCATATTTATAAGGTCTTGTACTTGGTCTGAATTATTTACTTTCCATAGTCCTGCAAACTTCTCCACGTCTTTGGTGGTAAAATCACGCTTCGTCGAACCCTCCAAAACTCCAAATATGCTATACATTCCAAGGATCATGAATCGGGGATCATTTCCTGTGTTAATTAAGGATAATAGCTTTGTTAGTCATTCAACTAACCATAATGAGTCTTGGCCTAACTAGTAACTAAAACCAAAGAAAAAGCTAATCATTTGTTAATGTTGAATTTTGTGAAGAAAATTATCTTCAAGTTAACATAAAGTTTATGCAGAGTTACTTGATACAAACTTGATCCGAACACCTCGTTATATATACTCTCATTCATAAACTATCATTGGTCAAAATGAGGCAATTTATTTTTGCCTAGTCTATGTAGGCAACTTAACTAGGCATATCTTTGTTTCAAATACAAAGTATAGCATATTCCATGTGTAATGAAATTTGAAGTGAAAGTAGTAGTATTTCTCACCTATGTATCTTCCTTTCAAGACGTCGAGAATGTAGGCAGCAAAATGGAGTGGTGAGAGCAAGTTTTTGCGAAAGCACTTGCTAGCTTGCCTAAGATTACTAAGTGGCTCCTTTGGCGGAGAGAAGTTGATGGTTGAGGAAACTAGAATTTGCTTGGTTTGAGAGTTAACGTTGAATATCCCACTTTTTCGGGGGTCAACTTTGCTCAAGATGTCTTTAGCACAGGCCTTATCAATTCCATAGGCGTACATTATAGCCTCAACATTAGCAATAGCCAGACTCTGCTCGTTGTGGGTTTCGAGGATGTAGTTGACATTACCAGTATAATATACTCGGATTCTCTCTGCAGAAGATGAGAACACAATAGGCATGAGAGCTGAGAATGTTTTCTGTACTATGTTATGAATGTCTAAGCTTATCAAGAGGTAGGATTTCCCTACAATGTTATAAAAGTCTAAGCTATATATCTCTAAAATTGAATTTTATATTTCATCTAAATGATCGGTTTATCAAACCTTCAGAGATATTTAGTTCACGAGATCTAGGTATGAGGTAGGAGTTACGAATGGTTTAAACCCATCATATATTTCGGTTAATTTGAGTCATACCACCCATACTCATATTTCTAGGTACTATTAAACTAAAGATAACCTTGTTTTAAACCCGAATAAAACATTGCATTAGGAATAAGTTTAAAGCCCATATAATCATGATTTCATTATCGTTTCAACTTGTTAAAGGACTATTTATCTCAACCAAAAACTATCTATCTCAACCAAAAACTTAAGTTTATGGCTAAAGCTCATATATTTTATACTCTCTACCAAAACTTTATACCACTACTCTACGAATCAAATACCCATAATATGTTGTTGACTCCCTATCATGCCACTACTACAAATTCAAAAAAAAAAAAAGTAATAATAATAATAAATAAATAAATAAATAAAACCCAACAAATTGTATTGAATTTGCTAAGATGAATAAAAACTATTCCGTATTATTCTAACTCATTTTGATTTACTTTACCCAAAAAAAAAATCCAAAAAAAAAAAAAAAAAGGCATAACACGTTCAAATTATTAAGAGTCGAATCTCCCCCAAGTGATGGGGCTCGATCCTCATCCGTTCCTATGATAGAAGGAGGGATCCTCTCCATATCTTACCGTAAAAATAAAAAAAATAATAAAAACATATTTAAGTAACCAGTACTCCGTATTAGATTATTGTATAAGGTATCAAGTAATGATATTAAATATTACCTGAAGTAGGACCGACACCACTAGGAGGTAGTCCTGTACCAGAAGTCATGGCAAGAATCTCAGACATCCAACCCCAGGTGGACCCCTCATTTCCCAGCGGAGCCCCGGAAAACACATCCCAAGGTGGCCGGTCCAAAGCGGTAGCTCTGCGCCCAGCAATATCTGATATCGAACCTCGAGTAGTACCGCTCATAGAAGCGGTACTATCTTCATCATCCCAAGCCGAAGCCTTTCGGGCTGCAATGTTTACAGCGTCGGAATTAGAAGAAGCTTCAGTGGCTTCCGACGCTCGCCTGCTGGAGATGTCGGAAGCCGTAGGAGCGATGGATTGCATCGGAGTAGTATCCCATGCGGAGGACCTCCGAGGTGTTGGTGAAGCTGATGATGTTATCGACGGAGGAGCGTTGGGGTCGATCACGGAAGAGCGCCTGCGGCCGGAAAATGAAGTTGGTGGGTGATCCATACTTGGAAGCCAAGTTTCCAATTGAAGAAGAATTACTGAAAGCGGATATAAAAATTAGAGATTGGATTGACGACCAAAAGAAATAAATAATTATTCCTTACTTCATAAGTTCATTACATGAATACTTTTATGGTAGTGGGTGGATCCCACAATGGACTGACGGAAGAGATAAGCAGTACTTGTATATAACAAGTGGGTTAAAGGGATTTATTACGGAGTAATTTAATTTGATTTTGAGATGATGAATTGAACTCCAGTAATCCGAGAAAATATAAGTTTATAACCTTAATAAATAATTCAATATATCTAACTGTTGTTAGTTTATTGCTACACCTCTTCACATTTTTACTACAATATTGAACAAATTGGAATCAATGGAGGAAGAAAAGCTTACTTATCCTTCAGGGTTAACTATACTCTTTATATTCAATTTGTTATGCGGGTTTTTATTTAATTTCGACGGAAAAATCGCCAAAAATGGTGGTGCTAAATTGCTAATTAAGTCAAAATCAATGGAGGAAACAGCCGAAAATGGTGGTGCTAAGTCAAAATCAATGATGGTTTCAAAAAAAAAAAGTCAAAGTCAATGGAGGTAGGAAAATTCATCTACCCTTTAGGATTAAATGTGTCATTAATTTCTAAAAATAGTATATTACAGGAGGGTGTACCATGCGCATGGTACACCCGAAAGTACATTACATATAAATAAAAGAATATTGGGACAAATTTAATGTTATTTTATTTATATGTAATGTTCTTTATGTTATATGTAATTTTCTTTTTCAGAAAACATGATATACTCTATGTTCGTTTGTAATATATAATAAATTATTATAACTACAATTTTTATTTAATGTTCTTTTATTTATATGTAATATTTTTTATTTTATCTGTAATGTTCTTTTTCAGAAAACATGGATGTACTCTATGTTCGTTTGTATGTATAATAATTTATTATAACTACGATTTTTTCAAATTTAATGTTCTTTTATTTATGGGTAATGATATATGTAGCCCTTAGGGTTATATATAAGCATTAAATGTACTTCCTAAAATGAAATTAAGTTGAAAATTCATGCCAAAATTACACGTAAATCGGTGTAATTAATGTTATTTTATCTTCAATATTTCCTCTTTTAGCTTCTTATACATAGCCCTAAGGTCTATGTTTATCATTTTCCTTTATTTATATGTAATATTTTTTTTTTAATTTTTTATTTATTTATAAGTTATGTTCTTTTATTTATATTTAATGTTATTTTATTTATAAGTTATGTTCTTTTATTTATAGGTAATGTTCTTCCGGATTCTTTTTATATGCCCATTATTAATTACATAAATTCAAAGAATATATTTATATGTAATGTTCTTTTATTTATAAGTTATGTTATTTTATTTATAGGTAATGTTCTTTTATTTATATGTAATGTTGTTCTTTTACTTATAAGTTAGGTTGTTTTATTTATAGATAATGTTCTTTCAGGTGTACCATGCACATGGTACACGACCTGCATGTACGAATCACTGATTGTTAATTTCTCCTTTTGTTATTCAAGATTTCGTATAACTTTGCTGTTGGAAATGGTGGTGTTAGCATAGTTGAACCGACTTGATGAAAAAGAAGATGAAAGTATTAAGGAGGGTGGGAAGAAAAAACATGAAGAAGAGGAAGAGGAAGGAGAAGAAGCTAAGGTGGGAGGAAAAAGATGATGAATAGGAATTTAGATGTTTTAACTCCAAAACTTTTGTCCATCTTGCCACAATGGCCCACATACAATAAAATACGGAGTATATATATATATATATTTTTAATTGAGAAGCACAAATTTCAATGCAACTTATTTACTACTCCGTAATATATTATTTTGTCAAACATATTTTGTTTATTATCTAGGTCATAAATTACGTGTTGCTCAATTTAAACTATATTTTATCCTTTCTAACATATTTATACCCCGTATATATTACTTCAAAATTTAAGGGAATTTAATACGGAGTATGTTTTAATAAGCCTTTTTAATTTAAATCGAAATTGGATCCATTGACCCAAATTATACCCCTAATTGAAAAAAATATAACAATTAATATTTCCTTCGTTTTTAAATACTTGCAACACAACCTTGTGGCACACACTTTGAGGTTGACATTATATAATGTAAATGATCAAATTCATCAATATAATTTTTACACACGATACTAGCTTAACCCTTCTATAATCCTAGTGTTAATATAATTTTGAAAAGAAGTCATTCATTAACTTTTACTAATCGCCGCCTAAAATTGCTTGTCTAAAGTTTGTGTTGCAAGTAAAAGAAAACTGAGGAAGTACATGTTAAAGACAATAAAACACGTTAAAACTAGGCTTGTTCACGGATTAGATATCAGAATACTCGGATATCAGAAATTGTTATCCAAATCCGATCTGAAAATTTCGGATATCCGAATATCGAATATCCGAAATTTTCGAATCGTATGCTTCGGATATCCATTATCCAATATTAAGTAAAATTGATTATGATTACTTTCTAAATTTCACTAATTTTGCCGCTTTTTTATCGCTAAGTTGTACAACATATTTTAATAAAATAGTAGTCTTTTTGCAATAAATATTATCCTCAAATATGTTAAGAATATTACAATAAGTTAATAATACAGGGTTAGTTTTATATAAACAATTAAAATTTTTATATATATTTCACTATTCCAGCCATTATATATCGGATTTCGGATATTCGAAATTTTGAAAATCAATATCCAAATCCGCATTCGATATCTGCTTTTTCGGATTGGATATTCGATCCGAAATGAAAAATCGGATCGGCTGCGAATCGGATTTTCGGATAGTTTTGTACAGGCCTAGTTAAAATAATCAATAACACATAATACTAAAACAGAGCCCAAGAATGACACGTGTTACTTCCTAGTGCTGTTTATTTCCCTCCAACTTTTTCAGGAAAAAAAAAACTTTTGAACTATGTTTTTACAAAAAATATCCTTGATTGATTATATATAAGATTTACGGTATATTCACCATATCAGAAAATTCTTGAATAAAAATTATACAAATATATTTGGGTTACTTAACATAAATATCTAATTAAAGATTTCAATTATATATTTAATCATATATAGAGATCACCTTTGTCATATTTCAAAATATATTATTATTTCAAAAGATAATCTTTAACTAATTTACATAAAATTAACTATAAGATTTGCTTGAGAATATAATTGATGTTTACATTCATTAATAGTGCAGAAAACTACACAGATACAAAGCTTACATACAAGTAAGATCTAGCCTATAATTAAATAGGTACTTTATTTTTTTATTAGATATAATTATGAGTAATCAATGACATAATACTAAAACAGACACCAGGAATGACACGCGTCACTTTCTGGTGCAAAATTTTCCCTCCAAAAACTATTTTTCTTTTTTGTTTTTTTCATTTTAGCCATTGAGAAAGATTTTATTATGTATGGGTAGAATTTAATTATCTCCTTTTGTTTCTTGTGTAATTGTTTCAACTATAATATTGTTTCCTATAATTCAAGATTTAAATTTATCAAATTCATTTCAAAATTAATATTTTTTTTTAAATTGGTCAACATATATATATATATATATATATATATATATATATATATATATATATATATATTTGAACAGGTCAACATATATATTATTGGTAATATTATTTTTTTCAGTCATTTTCATAGATAACTTTAAGTGCAATTGAAATTATTTTAATTAATCTTATTTAATGTGTAGTTCTTTGAATAGTTATATTATTTCAATAATAAAAAAAAAATCTACAAAAAAACTTTGATAATACTTTTCTTTGTTTTGAATTATTATTTATTTATTTTTTTTATTTTTTTAATTTTTTTTTAAAATTTTTACTTAACCTTTTTGGTAACAATTTTAACAATAATACTATCGAGACAGACCATTTATAATCACCTCTAATGGAAACCTAACATACATTTTTATGAATTTTTTATATTGAATAATTAATTTAGAACTTCATTTATAAATTCCACAATACAATAATTTCTTTATTATTGACAATGTCTAATTCTTTAATAATTTTACTATCATGTTATAGGTTTGTGCCAATTTGTGTTTACATACTACTATGAGCTATGTGATTAATTAAGTTTGATTAAGTTATTTGATTTTCCTTAAATAAATCACCTTTTTTTTTAATAAAGAGTGGTTGAACTATAATATCTTTATAATTCTTTAAGAAGTTTAGTAATATCGTGCGTAGCACGGTACTAAACTAGTAATTAACAAGATTTGTACCCAAAAAACCGAGCACATGCACTAATGTCAAAAACAATGGCGGATCTAGAATACTAAGCTTGGAGGGGCACTTAGTGAATAATTATGCAGACATATCTATTTATATCATCAATATAATATAATTTTAAACCAATAAAAGAAACTTAAATAAAGTATTTTTGGTGGGGCCCGTGCCACTTAGGCACAAACATAGATCCGCCAGTGGTCTGAAAAATATAATCAAAATGTTCAATAAATATTTTAAGGAATATATATCCCTTCACAGTTCTAAAACTATCTTTTGCGTTAAACATAAATAATTTAAAACTTTCACAACTAAATTATGAGAAAAAACATCAAATTGTATCAAACTTAAATATTCATATGATCTTATTATTATACTATTAACCTTAGATATTTTATTAGTTAAAATGTGGAGAATATTTTCATTTTGATAATCTCAAAGTTTTCATAAACATTTCCTTACAAATATTAATGCTCACAATTTTATAATTTGTATACCACTTCACGTATAGAACTATATAGATTATGATTCTGTCCTTGAAAACAAAAAATATAGATTATGGTTCTTATGCCATATGGTTAATAATAATAAGAATAAATTACATGTTTATAAGATGAATTATGACTAACATTTATCTTTGATTCATATGAAAATTATCGATCAATATCAATATCTAAGTATTCATGCATTAGATGTTATCGGTATATTTAATTGTATGACTATATGTGTAATAGTTCATGCTTAATTAGGGAAAAAGATATTGGGGGTAGAATAAAAAAATTTGTAATTTGAGGTAAATAAATTGGTTAACGGTA